TCAGTGCTGCGCACGTGCGAGAGCTCGCCAGATGCTGCGCTCGCTGATGCACATAGTGCTCGGGCGCGAGGCGACCGGCTGTTACTCACGACCGGCACGATCGTCGACAAGATCGAGCGGCTAGCGAAGACGGCCGCCACAGCAAAGAACTGGTACGTGATCAAGCAGCACTGCCGCGCGCGCAGTGCGGTGTGCGAGCGCGGGTTCTTGTTGCTCTGCTGGGGTTGTTACGGAAATATTGCATAATTACGTGATATGTTGTGCCTCGTGTATATATATATATACATTATACCTGCCGGGTCATACTCAAAGATTTGAAAAGTGGTAACACTGCTTCTCTGCTTAGCATCTCAGCAAAAAGAATAGAGTGTGGAAACATATACCGTTTAGCAGTGAGTTGCGACCGTCTAATTGTTCTCCTAGCAACGAAAAAGTTATGAAATGAGTAACTCACATCACCACGATTTGGACGACGTCGACAAATTTTATATATATTATATATTGGATATTATATATATTATTAATATATATATATATATATAATATCATGTTTAGACTGCTGTGTGAGATGCCGCTTGCAAGTTCCACGCTCGCCTGCTGGGGGTTGTTATCTAAGCATGATATTGACAAAGAAAATATTGCATAAGTTAATATGTATTAATATTATGTGTTGCTTGGGGTTAGCATCGGTGTGTGTGTGTGTGTGTGTTGTGTGTGATGGCTGTGTGTGTGTGTGTGTGTGTGTGTGTGCGTGTGTGTGTGTGTGTGTGTGTGTGCTGTGTGTGTGGTGTGTGAAGCATGCGTGTGCGCTGAGGATATGAGTGTGGTGTGTATGGCAGTCGTCGTGCAATGATGGCAATGATCCCGAATGGCTTATGATAGAGGATCGCGTCGGCTGTGTGGTGTGTGCAAGCGGTGTGTGCGGTGTGCGTATGGCTAGTCGTGCATGATGGCGATTGATTCCGGATATGTTGCTATGAATAAGGAAGTCAGCGTCGGTGTGTGGTGTGGTATAGGTGAGGTGCGCTGTGAGTGTGGCACGTTGGCAGTGGCATGATGGCATGATTCCGGAAATGCATATAAGCAGTCAGCCGTCGGGTGTGTGTGTGCTGTAAGCTGTGCTGTGCGCTTGTGAAGTGTGTCGTATGGTATTCGGCAGATGGCATGATTCCGGAATGTGCTGATGATAGAGGCAGTCGGTCGTCGGTGTGCGTGACGATCGTTGTGTTGTGCCTCAGGGAAGGTCGGTTCTGCTACGCATCCTGGCAAGATAGTCGACAGCCTCGTTGCCGGCACAACATCTGTTCTAGTCAGAGTGCAATGCGAGTGTGCGTAGAGCGACGCGCCGCTCGATGTTGTCCGCATGGTGGCGGGCGACGGGAAGGCGAGGCTGCTGGGTGTGAGAAGATGCCTAAATATAACAAGAGAGGAAGCTGGATTGCCTGCTGGGGATGGCACTTTCCTTTCCCACGGCTTGCGTAGATTGGAGGGTTCACGTGATGTGGGCTGCACTCTGTGTAAGGATTAGGGTAGGTCAGGTTAGGGTTTGGTTTGGGTTAGGTTTAGGTGCTAGTGCTGGCCACGTAGCGCCCCCTCCAATCTACGCCGGGGAAGTGACACCCAATTGGCTGTTGTGGCTTTTTGCCTCAGAAGCGCCATCTATGGACGATAATTAGAATGGAAACGGTCTGTGCAGACCGGAACCCAGAGACATAGAACACTAATCTGTTCTAGGGGTACTCTGGCCGAACCAAATTTGGGCCAGATATGGCGGCGCTGCTCCTTGTTATATTATAGCGCTTGCTTGCTTGTGCGAGATTATTGCGTGGAAGCTGATTTAGGTTGTTTAGCGTGCTGACTGAGGCACGGTATGTCAACGCAGTCGCTAAGAACGCGATTGGCGCTAAGATGCGGCACGAGGGAAGGGGGCGCTAAGTTTGTACACTGATGTACAATGTGCTAATTTGTACGCAGATATTATTCGTGAAGGGTGGTGTAACGTTGTTTTGCTGTTAGCAAGCTGAGGCCGTACATCAACTGATGGTCTTTATTGATGCGCACCTAGTTGCTACACTCCTATTCTCCTCATCATCTAATCCCTCCCTTTAACCCTTATACCCTATCCCTACCTTATCTCCCATTCTTTACCTCTTCAACCTAACCCATTCTAAACCTACCCTTACCCTCACCACTAACCCTAAACGCCTTTCCTAGCCCTATCATAAACTCAACCCTACGCCCTAGCACGACTAAACAGCCCAATCCAGCTATAAATAATCGCAGCCGTAATTCACGGCGTTCTTGGGTGACAATCAGGGTTAAATAATATCCACACAATCGCCCTGACTCGATTATAGTAAGCCAGATTAGTCTATGTTCACCTGACCTCTGTTGACCTGGCTCGTCTAGCTATTCTGACTTAAATATATATATTATATATATATATATATATATATATACAGGTTAGGGTTAGGGTTAGTCAGAATAGCCTAAACGAGTCAGCGGTCAAAATCAGCGGTCACGGGGACATAGACCCTAGAGCATATAACTCCCCCACCCACTCGTTAAGGTGACCAATCCAGTGTGTTTCGGACACGAGAGGGCGTCATTTCGAAGGCCTAACCCTCTCGCCATGCACCCACAATATAATAATAATAATAAAAATAAAAATAATAATAATATAATAATAATACAAAAAAAAAAAAAATAATAATAATAATAATTAATTAATAACAGGTGACGTTCGGGTGTTCGGACACCTGAGGAAGGGCGTCATTTCGAAGCTCAACCCTCTCCCTCATCCCATCAATAATAATAAATATAATAAAAATAAAAAATAATCAATAATAATAATAAAAAATATTAAAAAATAATAAAAATAAGTATAATAATAATAATAAAAATATTAAAAAAATAATAAAATAATGAATAAATAATAATAATAATAACAATAACAGGTGACGTTGCGTGTCGGAGCCAACGAGGAGTGGCGTCCATCTCGAAGCCAATTCCACCGGCGGAATATTGAAGTCTGATGTGTATGTACCGGCTCTGCCAGCCGCACGACATTGCCAGGCGGTTAACTGCAGCAGAACTCGTCCGTTAGATCGAAAACTCATCAGCAACAACCCCGCAGGTGTTCGACGGAATACTGAAGATTCCGGGATCGGGTGGAGGGGTGACGGAAGAGAGGAGGGAGGGGAGGGGGCCTAGGAGAGGAGGGAGCGGGACTGGGGGAGGGCGGAAAGGCGAGTCAGAGAGGGGGAGAGGTAGGAGTGGGGAGGAGAGGATAGGGCATTGTGGGAGGAGAGATGGGTGTGGGGAGGGAGGGAGGAGGGGAGGGGAGGAGGTAGGAGTGCGGGAGGAGAGGATGGGCATGTGGGGGGGGAGGAGGAGGGGAGGGGAGGATGGTAGGAGTGGGGCGAGGAGGGGAGGAGAGGGGGAGGGGAGGGGGAGGGGAGGGGGAAGGAGAGGCGGAGGAGTGGGGGAAATAATAATATATAATAATTTGTCGGACGCGTCCGAAATCGTGGTGAGTGAGTTACTCATCATAACTTTTTCGATTGCTAGGAGAACATTAGCGGTCGCAACTCCTGCTAACGTATATGTTTCCACACTCTATCTCTTTTTGCTGAGTGCTAAGCAGAGAAGCAGTGTGTACCACTTTTCAAATCTTTGGTATGACCCGGCCAGGTATAATGTATATATATATATATACACGAGTGCATCACATATCACTAATTATGCATATTTTCCGTAACAACCCCAGCAGAGCAACAAAGAACCGCGCTCGCACACGCACGTGCGCGCGCGCGTGCGCTGATCGCGTACCAGTTCTTGCTGTTGGCGGCCGTCTTCGCTAGCCGCTCGATCTTGTCGACGATCGTGCCGTCGTCGAGGTAGAAGCCGGGTCCCTCGCGCACGAGCACTATGTGCATCAGCCGCGCAGCCATCTGCGAGCTCTCGCACGTGCGCAGGCACTGACAGATGTCCCACGTCGACTTGTTCTCCCACGACTGAGAGCGGGTCGCGATGCGATGTACGCGCGAGCGAGAGATGAAACAAGGAAGAAGACTGTGAGGCATGCGCAAGAGGTTGAAAGCTTGTTTCGTCGCTCAATGACGTTACAGTGTCGTCATGTCTGTACGGACTCAAACTCCTGTTTTAAGGTGCATTGTGACCCTAACACAAACCCTAATTCTAACCCTAACACTAACCCTAATCCTAACCCTAACCCTATTTAAAAAAAAAACTGTGACGTCATTGAGCGACGAAACAAGCTTTCAACCTTTTGCGTGAGGCATGGACACAGGTTTCGAACTTCATCCCACCGTACCCCCTCTTCCCTTTTGCCATCACGCTGTAGAGGTTTCAATCCTCACCCTCTCCCCTTCCCCCTGCCAGCGTTATGTAAAGAAGGTTTCGCCATTTCTCCTCCTTTCCACCAGCACAGTACCATGTAAAGGTATTGATCTTCACCCACTCCCCTTCCCCAGCCACTGCACTGTAAGAGTTCATGAACGAAAGCAGAGTGGCCCTCTCGACTCTCGTTTGACCAAACTAACAACGTCAGCTTACCTAGGTTTACAGGGTTGTTTTTTTTTGGTCTGTCTAGATCTGACACTCACCTCGTTACTCAGGTAGTTCATGTATGAACAGCTACTGTCTAGATCTGACACTCACCTCGTTACTCAGGTAGTTCATGTATGAACAGCTACTGTCTAGATCTGACACTCACGTCTTTGCTCAGGTAGTTCATGTATAAACAGCTACTGTCTAGACCTGACACTCACCTCTGTACTCAGGTAGTTCATGTATGAACAGCTACTGTCTAGACCTGACACTCACCTCTGTACTCAGGTAGTTCATGTATGAACAGCTACTGTCTAGACCTGACACTCACCTCTGTACTCAGGTAGTTCATGTGATGTATGGGAAAAACAGCTTACTGTCTAGATGCTGACACTCACCGAGGCGTTATCTCAGGTAGTTCATGTACGAACGCTACTGTCTAGATCTGACACTCAAGTCGTAACTCAGGTAGTTCATAGTATGAAGCGCTACTGTCTAGGCCACCTGACACTCACTGTCGTTGCTCAGTAGTACATGTATAACACGCTCTGTCTAGATCTGACACTCACCTCGTTCCTCAGGTAGTCTCATGTATAAACAGCTACTGTCTTAGAATTGACCTCACCTCGGTTAACGGTGTTCTGGTTTAAGCGCTACTGTCTAGTATCTGACATCACGGTCGTAACTCAGGTAGTTCTGTACGAACAGCTACTGTCTAGATCTGTACCTCCCCTGCGTTACTCTCTAGGTAGTCATGTATAAACACTACGTATAGATCTGACACTGCCCTGGTTACCACAGTGTAGTTCATGTTATAAGACAGGCTACTGTCTAGATCTGAAGCAGCTCACGTCGTAACTCAGGTAGTTCTGTATGACAGCTAACTGTCTAGATCTGACACTTCACGCTCGTTACACAGGTGTTCATGTATAAACGCGTACTTGTCTAGATCTGACATCAGCCTCGGTTTACACAGGTAGTTCATGTATAAACAGCCTACTGTCTAGATCTGACACTCAGCGGTGTCGTACCTCAGGTAAGTTCATTGTATGAAGCAGCTACTGTCTAGACCTGAGCACTCACCTCTGTACTCAGGTAGTTCCCGGTATAACAGCTACTGTCTAGACGACACTCACCTCTGTTTTACTCAGGTAGTTCATGGACAGCTTGCGTATGGCACGCGGGATGTCGGTCAGACTCTTGTATCCCGTGTCACTCGTCACTTCCTCGAACGACTTGAAGGACAATCGCGATCTCCGGCATGTTCTGAAGGAAGTCCAGGTGGTTCTATGCACGGCCGTCGACACGAGGTTCTGTGTGAGAAGAGAGAGAGGAGAGGGTCGCATTAGATGATAGAAGAGGGACAGAGAGAGAGAGGAGAGAGGAGCAGAG